GTGCTTGAAGAGAAGTACAGAAACAAGTGCTCCAAAGCAAGTGTTTGTGGCATTACAACATTCTGAGTAGAGTCAAGATCAGATTCATAGAAGTGTATGTACTGAACATGTAGACTATTCAAAATCTTCCTTTTTTCCCTCACAAAGTGAAGGACAGCTCTCCTCAGGCTGAAGACAGCAAGCAGTCATGAGGAAGGCCGAGCAACACCAAATGTCTTATTAATTTGTTAATTTGTTGTGGCCATGGGGCATGAAAACCGTGCTTCATTGCCATCTGAGGCCAAGGGTATATAACGTCTTGATTCTTTCATGCACACACACACACACACACACACACACACACACACACACACACACACACACACACACACACACACACACACACACACACACACATGCACACACACATAAATATGCCGTTCATGTTGGCCCTGGGATGACCTAAATAGACAAGCATTCTCCTACCCGAGGCTAACCATCCTCAGTAATCAACAGGACTTGGCTGTAAAACCCTCAACGTCAGCTGATTAAATGTGAAACATTGTTTACAAACCATAAAACAGTGTATCAAATATATGATAATGGATTCCAATGAAAAAAAAACAGCAGACTGATATTATTAAAAAGTCATTTAGAAGGCAAATTACACTGAAAAAGGGTTAATTTTACAGTAAAATATGACTTCAGTGTGAAAACTAAATTATCGGTTTGAGATGGACAAGTCAAGAGAAAACATTTGAAAATGATCAAGTTACTCAGGTTTATCATTCAAACTGTTTACAGTCAGTTAAAAAAAATACAGTGAATAAGCAATACAAGAACTCTCACTCATAAAATATGAAATGAGATTGAAAATCAATACCAGAAAATAAAGATTCTATAGCTGCATGTGCCAGCTTGTGATGCCTATTGAAGCAAAAACATTTTAATTTCCTCAAACAAAGCCTCCCCAGCTGTGTTTCAAGCACAAGCCTGGCTCTCTGAGGTCAAGTCTCTTTCTACCAAGACTGTGGTACTTGAGCTGAAGGCCTTTTTGGTGAGAGAGCGCAGTTAATAGATTTTCTTTCTTCTCCCTGCTGTTGTTGTGGAAAACTATTATGGATTCTGGAAAATTCTTGCTGGGGCTCTTTTGTGCCACGAGTCTATGAGAAAAAGCGAACACAACAACAGGCTCGGTCTAAAAAAACCCTGGCCTTCAAATATTGCAGAAATGCAATTTCACCAGCTCCTCTATGCCAGCGCCAGTCCATTTCACAGCCACAATGGCTGTCTGTTTCTCTCTCATTTAGTCGGCCTGCCTGGAACAATGAGCATGGAAGAATGGCAACAGGTAATTTAAAGAGCTGGGTAAGAAGGATGTGGGCAGGAGGTGCCCCAACTTTGGCCCAACACCACCAGCTGCTGTCTGGTCCACACCAGAAGAGAGAGAGAAAAAAAATCACTAGGGACTAGGGTATTCTTCTCTTTTTTCACCTCTCAAGTTTTGGATAGAGATGAGCAGGCATGATTGGAAAGAGATTTTGGGGAGTTAAAATTAATCATTTCTATGGTGCATCTCTACCCAGAAGTGGACAATTTACGCTTGTTTAGTAACATACCATAACTGGTTAACAAGTCATTTGTTGTGGCAGAATACTAAGGGGAGGCCATTTTTGAATGACAAAAATGTCTGAATGCAGTTCATCATCAATGTATTGTGATATCGAATTGAACCCTTTTGTTTCACCTCACCCTTCTAAACTGCCATCCAGATCACAGCACCAAAGTAACCTGGTTCAAACCATGGGCCTAATCACATGGACATAATAGACTGCAGCCCCTCAGTCATTACTGTGCCTGGAGTGTGCCATCGTTACACACACTCCACTAAACCTCCTTTCACAGCTCTTCCTAGCTGACCTCCGTAACACTTATCCTTCTAAACTTCACTCTCATTCAGCTCATGGCACCAATGTAACGCCTCTGGTTTTACTTGCACCACTCTGAGTGGGAATCAAACTGGCATCTGCAGGAAATGGGAACAATCACAGGGATGTCTAAGACTGCAGCCCCTCACATCAGGCACTAGTAAGCCTTCTTAGGTCACATACTGTAAGTGAGGTTTACCTGAAAAGGTTGTACTAGCTGTCTTCTGTTACTAGTTGTCCTTAAACCACTATGAGCAGAATACAAATCAGCATCTCCTGTAAAGAAGGTGGGCACGCTCTTAGGGAGCGTGAAGACTTTACATCGATCACTAATGTGTCTGTTGAGGTCCAAATCCATCTCCAAGCATATTTTAACTCTGTACCTCCAGCATGGAAGGCAGACACACAAACAAAAGTCAGTCCTGCAAAACAAAAGCAGTGTGTAGCTCTAAGCAAGATTCAAACTAGTGTCTCTAACTCTGAAGGTGAGGTCACTAAGAAGAATCCTGAAAACTGCAGTTAGCTTGGCTGAAAACAGACCAAAGCTCTGAGTTCACATCAATGGAGAAAATGTGACAGGAACTATTTTGTGATTGAAAAGTTTCTCACAACATTCACTGCCTTTCAACAGCCAAGGATGATCTATATCCTAAACAAACTTTCCTCCTGAAGAGAAAAGCGACCTCCTCACAGGCTCCAAGTGAGAGAACAGGAATCATGGGAGATGTGGCAGGCAGGGGGAGGAGCAGAGCTCAGGATCCCATCTCCACACAGCTGCAGCCGTTCTTCAGGGAATCCGACCGGGGAGCAGCACTCAAGCGCCTAATGCCATTAATGAGCGCAACCATGCAGCAGTAACGGAATTGGAGCGCAGCTTCTCCAGCAAGAGCCTGGCTGCCCCTGGAGTGGCAGGAGACCAGTTAGGCTGAGCTTAACTTTGATATACCAGAGCACAAGGGCATGGACAGGACGGAAACAGATTCAATGACTACTAAGCAATATGCAAGGACAAAATGGTAGCATATTTCACTGCTATGTGAAATTGTATATACTAGCTTTTGCTGATCACTGAAAAGATTAAATGAAATTTTTTATATATAAAAAAGAAATGAGAACAAAGTCAGATGATGAAGGTGTTGAAGTTTACATACCAGAGAACACAAGCCAGCTTTTAAGACACTTTTTTCAGTATTCTTCAATAAACATCAAGTTTAAAAGCTAAATATTTATTTGAAATAGAAAGCAAAATGTACACATCTCTCCTGTCACGTAGATCAATTCAATGTGTCCATCCAAAAAAAAATTAAGCTTACCCAAACTTCTGTTTAATTAAGAACAGTCATGAAAATCACGCAGAAAAATGTAATAAAAATTCCCTTCTTTTCTAACATTGTTTTTGGAGTGACGTTTGATCCACATGTGTTCTTGACATTTTCACGCAGCAGTCTGCTGTATAGATCTGATACAGATCTACAAACATCTAGACTAGTAAGGAAATAATGAAGAGATGTCTTCTCTTCCTACATTAAATAACCTATCGTAGCAGAAATTTATTTTGGTTAAATCAGATTTTAATATAACACTATGCATTCCTTGAAGTTATGTACTCTTAAAAGGGCAGTTCCATCTGATGGGATTTCTGCAGATTCTTCAAATCAAATGTAAGACTTTTTAAGACCCCTTTAAGACCATTATAAATTGAATTTCAGACTAGGCCCGGATACTTCTGTAAATAGTTTTTGCATTAATGGAAGATCATGTAAAGGGATGTGTGCTTTAGTTTTAAAAATTTGCTGTAAAATTGTCTAACAGCTGTTGTAAATTGTATGTCTTTGCAATAAAAAAACAAGCTTTACTTGGACAGAGAGAAATTAAGACCTGTTTAAAATGATTTAAGACCTATAACACAAAATTTCAGTGAATTAAAGATATTTTAGGACTTTTAAAGACCCCTCAGACACGCTGTGCGAACTGCCCTGAGCAAGCTGAAATTAAGTCTCCTGCTCAAGGGCGATGGTTCATGAATTCCTACTTGTTGGGTTTGAACAGATTAATAAACAGGAACGTAGCAGAGAGTGAATCCAAAGCAGCACCATTGCTGGAGCTCTAGGTGGAGCCACGGAGCTGCTGCATGGAACAATGCTGTCAGTCAGATACAGTTGAGTAACATACCAGAAAGCTAGAGTTAAAACTAAAATTAACATATCACTTATAGGATACAAATCAATTCTAAAACAAGGGTGTCACCGTGGGGTGCTCAGTGTAAAATTTTTGGTTAAATTTTAAAACAGTACAGTGACATTTTGCCAAAACTGCTTATAATAATCAGTACCCTCAAGGCTAAATTTATCAACAAATTCATTTAGTTTCTATTTGAAATATTTTTTTCCATCATATTTACCTGACTAATGCAAAAGCACAGGACAATTTGCTATTTTAATCCATTACAATAATGGTTGTCGATGGTAAAGGTATGCATATTAGAAAGGTAACCCAGGCTTTCAATAACTACAATGCAAAACAACAGATTATAAATACACAGGACAATTTAATTAACCAGACCTTGTGTGAAACACAAGTCAAAATAACCCTGGATGTCATTTACTCAAGGTCAACCATTTCAAGTATGAAGGAACATTTTTTTTATTGTTCTTTTTTTAAAATCAATTCATGTAAATACAAGAAATAAATTGAAGTCTTTGCAATATCACAATGCATTTAGGTTAACTAAAGACTGCAATGACATAAGTCCTCTCCTAATTGTATCTGGAAAGCTAAAACCTAGTGATCTGAGGACAAAGGTCAGTGACGACAGATGTGCTAACATGGCATTGCTGTTTGCACAGAGAAACAATGAAGAGCTTTTTAAAAGAGCCATCTGAAAGAAACAGCTCATCTTTGAACGCACCATAGCACAGGAAAAAGAGAAAATGTTCTGTTTTTAATCCATTAAATAAAAAAGCAAGCCGCTATAATAACGTACATTCACAAAAGTTCAACAACCTTCACTACTAACAGCAGAAAAATGTGTCATGTTCCTAAAATTGAACAAAGTTTAACATTGTTCTCCTTGTTTTTCTGTGGATTAATTACCTGAGGTGGCTTTTGCTGACTGCTTTTGCAGAAAGTCCAGAGTCTGAGCCAATGCTTTCTTATTGCAGTGAGTGGACAGCTCTTCCTTACATTCAAAGCACCTGTTAAACAAGAACAAAAGCATCATCTAACGGTAAAACACAATTCGTAGTGCAATTTGTCTCTGACTCTCTAACCTAGAGGTATTTTCTTTACAGAATAATGCTTAAAGTCATTTTTCTGCATGAATTCAAAATAAAGTGGATTATTGCAAAGAGATCAATAGGTCAGCGAAAGCATATTAAATCGATTAACATCTTCGGACCTCACAACAGGTCTATCTGTAAGGACTTGTCAGGTAATGTTAAAAATCAATTTCCCTGTGGAGAATGGATTATTTAAGTCTAGAACTCAACTGCTGCCCTCTATTATGGCTTTTATGTCCAATACAAAGGAGTATATGTTGCATGTACATTTTTGAAAAGTGTGTGTCATTGCTTACCAAAGGTGCATTTATTTTATTTAAAATAAAGCGAAAACAGCTGTACTGAGAAATAATATTATAGTTCAAAATATCTAAATATCTACACATATGCACAATTAAAAAAGAAATCATCCAGCATTCATAAAATAATTATACCACTTAAAATATTATTTCACAAGAAATTTAAAAATTACACACCGTCAAAAGTAAGCATCTTAAAGAATTTTAGAAATGGGTAACCAATGCCTTCCATAGTAGAAAAAACATATAACATAGAAGTCAATGGCTACCCGTTTCCAACATTTTTTTTTAATTATCTTTATTGAGTTCAACAGAAGAAACAAACACAAACAGGTTTGGAGCCACTTGAGGGTGTGTAGATTTTTATTTTTTAGTATGAAATATAATTTTAAGTGGTATAATTCTTTTCATGAATGCTGGATTGAAGGGTGAGTAAATGATGACAGAATTTTCTCTTTAACATCTTCCCGGAAACCATGACACATTTTATAAGAATACAATTTACATAAAATATGAGAGTTTTCCAAAAATGCATAAGAAAAAACAATAAACAGTCATGAAAAACAGCATCATGAAGCTGATGTTTCCTACCAGGCCTTCCATGTAGTGAGGCTGATGGTGATACAGTGAGAGTCTGAGTGATGAGCTTGCTGGTGTTTTGTGGAATGCTGAACTTCTGCTTGGTTGCAGCCCTGAAAGACAGAGAGCCAGTAGCAAAATTACCATACTTCACCAATATTTATGATATTTTTTGGAAAGATTTTATTCTTGGTTCTGTAAAACCAAGTGTCAAATCAAGGTCAACTCCCAAGTGTGCTGTCGCAGCTTTAACGATACATTATAAAACATATCAAATATTATGAATGAAAGGAAGAGGATAGAAGACTGAAACTAACTTAAGAAAGTTTCTGCACATCAGTTGTTAGTAAATTTTATGTTTATTTATAAAAGAAGCAATGGTTCCTATAAATTAGGCCCCTATAATGATCTATGAAGGTTTATGTAACACCGCATCACTCAAGATTAAAAGTAACAATTGTTAAAATTAATTTAGAATATTTACATTCAAAAATGCGCAAATTGCAAACTTTTTTCATCTCTAAATTTAAACAATGATAACTTCAGTTTAAGTTTATGCAACATGCTGTAAATTTAATGCTGTTGATTGTACACTTAAAATAATATATTATTATTATAAACAAATAATAAATATGAATAATAAATAATACTTTTTATATATAAAATTTTGCAGAAATGTTAAAGACAGTAAAAATGTAATACAGAAATAAAACTGAAATTGTAAAAAGATAATGTCAATATTGTTGAGCTCCACACACTGTAGCACTGAATATCTGACCAGGATTTGTTTGTTTGTATTTATTTAATTTCACATAAGCAACTTAAGAGCATTTCATGGCAAGTTCAAAACAGATAAAAACATATTACATAGTAATATCTTTATAATTCAACAAGAGATGATTAAATGAACTAAATAATCAAGTATTCATTAAAAAACATTAGATATGACTTTGAGGTCGATATATGATAAAGAACCTAAAATTCTTCCCAACAAATCAAGGTGCTTGATCTGACCTGGAAGCCACACTTGAGGCACACAAGGATGTCATGTGCTCCTGCCGTTTCTCCCTCCAGCACGTTCCTCTCTTTAAGGCAGTCAGAGCACACAGACCACAGGCTGCCCGTCACTGCCTTCTTTACTGAGCTCAGGTCCACAGCTCTGCTCACATGCTGGCACGTCAGACCTGCATCACACAACACCACACATCTTCACTGTGGGACTTACAGCAGTGCACAATTCCAAAGGGATGATGGATCCTTCATGTGTGATAAATGCTTTTCTGTGATTTAGCAATAGACATAATTTTTCACTAAAACAATGCAGTAGGATTAAAACCTACACTTACCGCCAACCTCGTCAGATGAGTCTTCATCGCGAGGTTTTTTTGGCTTGTTAGACCGCTTGGTCATGTCTGCGGTTTTTAAAGAGAAGGGGTCTTTCAACCGCATTGGTATCTAGAAAACAAAATCATGCAATAAAACTGACAGCACACGGCGGTGTTAGAATTACTGAAGACAAAGTACATTACTACATAACACATATGGCTGAAAGACAAGCCTCTCAGAAGTGTCTCAGCAAACAAAATTACTTTTAATTTGACTATAATTATGGTAAACAATCCCATTGTAACTAAAAGGCTAAAAGCTGCTGAAAAAAATAGTAAAATACAAATATTACAAATAATACAAGGCAAATAAATGGCTAAAAAATAAAAATCAATCATCTATCCATCTATCTATCTATCTATCTATCTATCTATCTATCTATCTATCTATCTATCTATCTACATACATGGTCAAAAGATTATGATCAGTATAGTTTTGTTTAATAATTTAAAATAAGCTTATTCTGCTCATAATGAATGCACTTATCTAATCAAATACAGTAAACTTGAAAACTTGTGAAATGATACATTGCATTATAAAATAACCTTTTTCTTATTAAATTAAGTGATTGTATCTTTTTATTAAATGCCATGTCAATAATTAAAATGAAGTTTAAGAGTTCACACTTAGCAGATAATTGATTATAAAGCTTGTTTGGCATGCTGTCCCGGGAAAGAGCCCTGAGCTAATAAGATCCACGAGTCTGGGGCTCCCTCGAATTTGCAGGGCGAGAGGGGAGTTTGAGCTCAGGTAGATCTTGAGAACTCCCCCGCTGTAGTAGCTAATGAACAGATAGTGATTGCTCTTAAGAGATAACTACTTACTAGGAGCTGATTTGGATTAGTCAATTAACTTAAGTTGCATGTTTTTGGACGGTAGGAGGAAACCAGGAAACCCAGGGGAAACCCATGTGAGCACAGGGAGAACATGTAAACTCCACACAGAAATGTTGGCTGGCTTGGTAAGGACTAGAACCAGTGACCTTGCTGCTGTGAGGCAACAGTGCTAAGGGGTCACTGTGCCACCAATCTTGGAAAAGAGGAAGAGTATGGGGTGGAAGGGGGGATTCTTCAAAACGAACATGGCTGTTACATGGAATTTAAGAATCGTGAATCATAATTGGTGAATCATAAATTGAATAATGCGGGACTAGACAAGTAATCATAAGCACATGATTGTCTCGAAACTACCTCATATATAAAATTCACTTAAATTCTATTGAATGAAGCTTAAAATGTATAATATATTTTAATTTCTTTGAATAAAAGTGTTCAGCATCATTGCTCTAGTCATTAATGTCACATGAAGCTGAAAACATTATAACATAAATATCTGCTCAACAAGAAGCATTTTTGTGATTATTATTGCTGTTGTTGATAGTTTTGATAACTGTTACATTTTATTTACTTTATTAATCAAAGACATATTCAATTGTTTTTCAAAAACTACAAAATAAATGCTGTTACTTTGAACTTTCTTTTCATTAAAGAATTCTATAAAGTAAACAGTATCAGTTTCCACAATACTATAAAGCAGAAAACGTTTTTAGCACTATTCGTAAGAATCATTATTATTGATTACCAAAAATAATTGATCACAATAGAACAATTTCTAATAATTTCTGAAGGATCAGAGCAGAAAAAAGTCATTTTATATATATTTTTAAAAATGGACTGATCTCAGTAGTCATGGGAAGGTATAAGATTATGACGGTATGATAACCTTGGATAAATTATCATGGTGGCACGGTATTGTGATTACTGCTCTAAAATATATTCTTTTTAAATGTCTGGGTAAAAAACAAAAACAGCTAAAAATGTTAAATAATAATATAAACAAATTTATGCAACCAATTTTTTTATAATAAATTTTAATATAATAAAAATATATTATATTATATATATATATATATATATATATATATATATATATTATATTATATATATATATATATATATATATATATATATATATATATATATATATATACTAACACACACACAAACATTAAATCAATAGCTAAAATTGATTAGACACATTATAAAAATAATATTAAACCAATTCAATGATGCTAAAAGACTAACCAAAAAAACTTTAAAACTGTTTAATAAAATGTTATAGACAAAGAATAATATTCAAATAAATTCAGTGTAACTAGTCTTCAAGAAAATGCAATATAAAGACAAAAACATCAAGTAATATACAACAACAGCCTAAAGCATATCAATACAATTAAATAAATACATTAAAACAATCCAGTGTGAGGAAAAGCTAATAAAACATATATAATTTAGGCTATATTTATTCAGATTTTTCGACTCTTACATTTTAACATTTTAACTGAACATCACAAATGTTTACCACCATGACAGCAGAATCTGAATAGAGTTTGGAGGTAAGGAAGTACCTTGTCAGCAGTATGGTCGTTAGCTGAAAATGCTGAATCAGTAAGTTGGGATAATATAAGCACATAAGAGAATCAGTTATTGAAACAAGCTCTCTATCAAAGCAAAGGAGAGCGCGACACCTGAGACTAACCCAGGTAAAGTGATACAAGTACTGACAGCAGGAACCGGCTGCTGCTCTCAGGCCTTTGCTTACCCAGCTGCATCAGGTCACAAGTGTTTAGAACACAAGGTTGTTTTAAAAGAGCTGCCATAAAAGTCAGAAGGGTACATATATGAACCCGACTCACCCTGTTTATGTTCTCCTCCTCTCCAGGCTCGCAACCAAGTGAACGTCAGTTGTCAAGTGTCCAGGTGGAAGAAGAGCGAGCCTGACAACTTACATATGCTCACAACTTTAGAACAAACACGGAGGAATTCCTGTCGGGGGTTTGGCGTTCGCGTCTAACACTTCGACATTCATTAATCGAAAAATCCCGAGATGCAGTTACGGTTTTGATTAAGAGAGTTATTCGGCGTATTTACTGGCATTTAGGGAAGAACAGAAAGCACAAGTATCAGATGTGTCACGTGGTCTCATCCGCTTGACGCGCTACGGATGCTTGTATAGTCAAAAATCGTTTGTAAATCCAAAGAGCTTAGAATCTATGCTCTTTGGTATATCTACTGTTTAGCTGAGTGAGGGCTATACTGTATTGATAAAAGCATTAAAATGGAAGGGAAGAAACGTTTCTATTTTTTACTAATCAAATGCTTCCAAGGACAAACCTATAGTTTAATTCCTGTTTTTGCTGTTTATAATGTATATTTGGTTTAATATTTTTTTTACAATCAATAAATACGACAATAATCCCTTGCATAAAATCTTAAGTTAATAAAATGCATATTTTCTAATACCTAAAATACATACAACAAATATTAATAGAAATAAAAGGTAAAAAAAAAATAAGTGGAAAAAAAATATTTAAAACTGAAAAAAATAATTAAAATATTTTAATAAATAAAATAAAGACTAACATTAAATAATTATCGATTTGATCTCGTTAAACACGCATTATTATTATTATTATTATTATTATTACTTCTACTATTACTACATAATCAACATAAATATTATTAAACTAATATTAATACAAATAAAAAAGTTTTTTTTAATTCAGTTGAAAGTTGAAAAAAACAAATGCAATTTTGAAAATAGTAAAATTAATTAAAATATTTTAATAAATAAAATAAAATAAAATAAACTGGCATTAACTGTTCTCCCATGTTTGCGTGGGTTTCCTCCGGGTGCTCCGGTTTACCCCACAAGTCCAAACACATGCGGTACAGGTGAATTGGGTAAGCTGAATTGTCCATAATGTATGTGTGTGAATGAGTGTGTGTAAATGTTTCCCAGAGATGGGTTGCGGCTGGAAGGGCATCCTCTGCATAAAACAGATAAGAAAAGAAAATGAATGAATGAATGAATGAATAAATGAATGAATGAATGAATAAATGAATGAATGAATGAATAAATGAATGATTGAGACTTGCATTAAATAATTATTGATTTTATCAAGTTAAACACATTATTATTATTATTATTATTATTATTATTATTATTATTATTATTATTATTATTACTTAATCAATATAAATATAATTAAACTAATCAATATAAATAGAAAAAGGGTTAAAAAATGCAACTATTTAAAACAGTAAGTTAATATAAATATTTTAATGAATAAAAAACTTGCATTAAACATTCATTGATTTTATCACTTTAAAGACACACATTATTATTATTGTTATTATTATTTGTAGTAGTAGTAGTAATAGTAGTAGTAGTATTTTACATAAGCAATATAAATATCAAACACATTTTCCAGAAGTAAACAATAAAAGAAAAAAGAGAATGCAATAATTTCACAATATAAAATTATTAAATAAAATAAATAATAAGACTAAACAATCAAAATATTTTATTAAGATAACAAAATAACAATATATTTAATCGTTTTAATTTTGACTTCAATATATAAGTAAATAAATGTGTAAATAAATAATAAAGTAAAATAACAACAATTAACCTAATACAAAAAGTCACAAATCATATTTTAGAACCATTTATTAATCATCATAAATTAAAGAAACCATATAGATGTGTTTCACATTTTAGCATAAAGTCCATCAAATGATCAAACTTGGGCAGGTAGTGGCATCTGGTACTATAAAATTATCAAGATAACTGATAAAATGCTTTTATTTATGGATTGCATCTCTGAATTAATAGAAAAGAAAAAAACATAACAAAAATTCCACATCCACAAAACAAAATGTATGCTGACTGCACCAATTTGTAAACTATTTTTCATTGATCTAAAAAACTTTAATGATTCCAACTTAATCCTAAAGCTCTTAAGACATCTCAACTGCTGAAAAAATACTTAATGTACATGATTAATTTTTGTTGTTAATTCCCTTGTAAATTGTTTTATGTATAACTCTGTACTCCTCTGTTAAAAATCAATAAAAAAGAAGAGGCATCTGAAAAACTTTTAGCCTTTTTTTATGCTCTCAGACCCCCGATATACGTCACTGGTATTACGTAGTTTTGGTTGTACGCATGCGTAGAAGAGCAGTGTAGGTAGCCGCAATCCTGCTACGCAACTGGCAATCAGTCCCATTGCGATTTCGCCAATATTTATATACATAACAAGAAAAAGGGAGCGTAGTTATCGAGCAGCTTTACATACTGCGAGTACTAGCATGGCGTTAAATGTTTGTTCGAGGCTGACGAGAAATGTTGTCCGTGTTTTAGCTAACAGAAGTGCGATTCCTGTCACAAGACCACTGACAAGAAGTTCATGGACACATTTACGTTACTTACACAGTGAGTGTTGAAATGTTAGTGTGCACAATGTGTCTGAGTTTTGGAATAAGTTAATTGCAGTGAATCTATTCATATTTACCGCTACATATTAACCGTGATCTCGTTAAGTCTAAATAGTAAAAATTACTCTTTAAAAGCACAAGTTTGTGTAAGTTATGTTGTATAACGTTATTTTTAAAGTAAGATTTCTTCTGTTGGTCAAGTGTGTTTTATCTTTGTCATTCGTTATGATTACGAAGTTTGAAACAAAATACATTTTCTCTTGTTTTTGTTGTTGTTGTTGATTAAACTTAATATAACCAGGAAAATTATATTAATATCCCTCTACAGAAACTTACGAATATAAATATTCTCAGAGTACAATTGATTAAATTAGAATAAATATAAATATACATTATATAAACATGCAATAATACAAATCCTATATGTTATGATTCAGGCCCGTAGCCAGGGGGTTTCGGAAGACCCACACCTCTCTGACAAAGGTCCAGAATTTGTTCCTTTTACACTGCTATGCCTTCATAAATGGTAAAAATAAGGCTTTAAGACCAAGCGGAATCCTCTGTTGGCTGTGTCTTTGGTGCGATTTCAGCTAATTACTTTTGACCAATGCTAACAAATATTTTTCATCAGTCCAACATCCAGCTGCGCAAGAAAACACACACTCTGACCTAAGAGAAATCTTCTTTCGTCACTGTATTGTTTTTGAATAGAGAAAACATTTGACAAGTAACTTTTAATCTAAATCTTTGAATTATTATTATTTTTGTTAAAATGGCCAATTTCTGACTGAGGAAAATGTATCATGCTGGCCAGTTTATTTGCCAAATAAATTACTATAGGCTACAGTTTTTAATTTAAATTTTTAGCAGATTCCTATTTTTTTTAAATTATTTATTATGTAGTTAATACGTATTTTAAACACTTTATTCTAAATCTTTAGGAAATATTTGGTACATCAATAAGACTGATTGTGATGACCATCCGACTAGCTGATTCAGCTAAAAAATAGTGCTTAAAATGTCATTAAAATGCAGTATTTAAATCTCATAATTAAATCAAAAGTGAGGCAAATAACTGCAAAAAGGTTCAATTAAAAAAAAAAAAAAAAAAAAAAAAACACCTCTTTTTTCAGGCTGGCTATGGGCCTGTGCTTATGTTTATTATTTAAACATCCTGATACACATTTCTATAGATGTAAATTATATTTAGCACTGTTACTCTTGTTTGATTTGCTGCAATATCTTGACCAACATTAAATACATTAGGGGTACTCCAATCAGGAATTTTGCAACCGATACAGAGTACCAATTCCTTGTCATGGTGATCGTCCAATACAATACATAAATAAACAGGGCTAATAATTCAGGGGGGCTAATAAATCAGACTTCAACTTTATACCGTATGAACAATATAACAGACGATTTTGTAAAATTTACTCTACCAGAACTGCAATATACCTTGAAACCGATTATCGTGCCATTCCTATAAGCGACTAAGCTGAAAATGAATAAATGAACGAATAAAACTCAAAGTTTGGTGTATGCACGATCTGCTAAAGTGGATATTTATGGCTCAGTGCTGGAGAATTTTTATTTATTCATTTTTTGAGAAAACGGCCTTCAAAAAATATGTAGTGTAATTAAAAACACAAATAATAGTGTGCTGTAAAAGAAACCTTTGAAAGTGTGTTGTGTGTGTTCTGTGTCATTACACAGAAAATACACTTAAAAGCCAAAAAGCTTAAAACTGACAGGTGCATGAAAACACAGTGCTTGTAATGTTTCGCCCACACATAATTGAGTTTTCAAAAAAGTTTGGACTTTAAAAAGCACTTTTAAAGGCTGAGCTTGAATACATTTTATAAAAGGTGACATTTTTATCGTTAGCAGACAGCAGTAATTAATATCAGTGTATGGAAGATAGGCCTCTGTTGGTCATGTGTGTGTATTTTATCTTTCAGATATCAGCATCATTCGTTATGATAGTGTTTCATTACGAAATTTCAGTTCTTCAAGTCAGCCCTCAGTAGATGTGTCCTATGAGCAGCTTAAAAAACTGCTGGTGTCTGGATCCAGTGTTGTTATTGATGTCCGTGAACCCTGGGAACTTAGGGAATATGGGAACATACAGGGGTCAATCAACGTCCCATGTGAGTCAGTACTTTTTCTCAGCAGCAAACTGAAGGTTATATTATATAATTGACAATACTGTACCCTCTCATCTGCAGTAGGACAGGTAAACGGAGCTCTACAGCTCACACCTGATGAGTTCAAGGAGAAATATGGAGGAGATATGCCATCGAAATCCCAAAATATAGTCTTCAGTTGTCTTGCTGGTGTAAGAAGCAAACATGCCCTGGAAGCAGCAGTGTCTTTAGGATACACCAAGTGAGCAGTTCAACTTATTACATAGCAATGTCTCTTTATACACCGTTTAAAAGTAATTTAGTAACTTTTTAGAAAGCATAATATTGTATATGCAAAGCTAGTGTTTCTTCCCATACCAGTAAACTTCCGGTGATTACAGTTAATGTGACTTTTTAAACATTTTATATGGTTCCTTTTACACCATCGAAGTTGTAATGTAATTAAAATGCAATCAGTTAAATAGACTTCAGCGTTCATTTAGTTGTTAAAGCGTAAACCGAGATGAAAAGCCTGTCAGGAGTTGCAGGCAAGCGCAGAAATTCCATTGAAAACACCGGAGTAAAATAAATGTTCAGATTTTAAA